AGTAAAAATTTTTATTTAATTAAATAATACCCCAAAGAAGCCATTGAACACCTCGAGGCTAGCTTTCGTTGGCTGGAGACTCAGGAGGTGAACAACATAAAAATCCTCCAACTCAGAAGCATTCTAGATTTTGCTCACAGCCAGAGACATGCTACATTCAAGCAAGGAACACTCAATCAGTTTTTTAAGAAATAAACTGCAAATGATGATTGCTAATATTCTTGAATGTTTTCATTTGTTGTTTTGTTTATTAAGAAGTCTACTAAAAAAAATTTGTGTTTTAATTTCTACTGTAACAACAACGATTTATTCACAAAATTCTTTAATTCAATGGTAATTTACTTGCCAGAAAGGGAACGTGTAAAAAACTAATCAAAGAGGGTGAAAATAGAGGTGTTTTAGGATGTTAGGTCAACATTGGGTCAGTTTGAACAATGATTTTTTGGAACCCCGATTTAGCGTGATCCCACTTGTTTCGCAATGACATTTTGTGGACCTCACTGATCGCGTTATAACAGGTTAGAAGTAAAAATAATTCTGCACTTACATTGAAATGTGTATATCAGATGAAAACCAATTCTACATGTAATGCCACTGCTTTATGTTGTTGGTTAAAGAGAGACTGAGCTTGATGGAATATATGAAAACTTCATGTTTTCTTGTGACATACATAAATGCCAAAAGTGTTGAGTAGTAAATGTACAGTGTAACCCCAGGTTAGAAGTAAAAATAATTCTGCACTTACATTGAAATGTGTATATCAGATGAAAACCAATTCTACATGTAATGCCACTGCTTTATGTTGTTGGTTAAAGAGAGACTGAGCTTGATGGAATATATGAAAACTTCATGTTTTCTTGTGACATACATAAATGCCAAAAGTGTTGAGTAGTAAATGTACAGTGTAACCCCGCACAGATAAGTTTTATTGAAATTATGAGATAAAATATTTTATTGATATTTGAAGCTTGTTTCTCCCTAAAACACATAAAGTCTGTTTTTATTTAGTAGTGCTAAAATCAGTAAAAATCCAGCTAGTTTTGCTCATTGTTTAGGAGTTGTAAAAGCCAGGAACATATTTTAATTATATTTTAAATGCTGATTTTTATTACTTTTTAATAAAGGTTTAATTTTTATGTATAAAGTTTTTTTTTATAATAATATAAGTTTTTATACATATACATAATGTACAAACAATCCAAATGGAATTACTACATGAGTTCTGTAAATTAGCTGAGTAGTTACAATTAAACATTAACAATAATTAGATTTCAATTATGTTCATTGCAATCAAAACATGCTTTCTATTTACAACTGAAATAACATTTAATGCATTTTAAAATTTTTCTGAAGGCATTATTGTTAATGCAGCAATTAGAACTGTAAGTATGGAAGTGGTTAACACTGATCATCAAAAACTAACTTCGGTAAAATTATAAATAAAATATATATTAGAAGACAAATGGAGAAACATTTTACATCATTATTGTATTAATAAACATTGTTTTCCTTATTGCATATTATGTTTATTTCGGTCCAAACATACATCATAAAGTTAGAATACTGAAATTTGTATTAATACAAAAGTTGTAAAAGCAGACTTTGAGCCTGTGGTTTTTCTAATCTTGTTCATTGAATTGAAATACAAACAAAAGTAATGTTATGACAACGCAGGTCACGTGACGTTAGTAACACGTCATTGACTCTAGAAATATCCTGTTCCTTCATGAATGCTCTAGCGTTTACTAGATATGTGTTAGTCTTGTATATATAAGACGGTCACAACGTAACAGGACAATGTGTAATTGAACTGAGTATTGTTGAATCGAGCATGTGAGACATTTGTTGTGAATTATAGCATTTGTTATAGTGCGACTGTTGAAATTAAGATTATTGCTATTTAGAAATAAGTTCTTAGACTTACTATTCTTAAAACATAGAACTGTTATGACAGTGAAAGTCATGTGACGCTGCTCGCGCATGCATGACTGAGTTTCTTGAATTATCAGGGAACTCCTCGAATTTCGTCGAAGCCTCTTTGTTAGTATATAAGCCTGCCAAGAAAAGCCAGCAGATGATGATAATGAATGTATGATAGGCGAACAGTAGTTACGGTTTTGTGGGTAATTTACGATTCTGTTTCGAGCTAGTGGAGAGCAAAGTTATCGAGATTGTGAATCACTGTGATTTATAGCGTGTATTATAAAAGTTATTAAGTTTAAAGTGACGAGAAATGTACTGACTGGAATTACTGTGTACTAAAAGTTTGTATGGAAAAGGAATAAACTGGTTTAATCAAGAAAGGACTTGTACTGCTGAAGCTGCTCAGAAAGAATTTCTACCAGAAATTAACAAACAAGCAGATACGTAACAAAACAATATATAAAGAAGTAAAGCAAACAATAATCTCTTCTAGTTATGATCTTGTACTCGGTTGCTACTTGACGTAGGTTGCTAAGCCTTTTAAAATTTTGTATGTGGAGGATGTGAAATGAAATAATATTTTTTACATTCTATATATACAGTTGAATAACTAAAAAGGCATAAATTACTATATCAGTACCACAGAATTCCACTATAATTTATCAAGCTCAGTAACTAAGCTGTATTTCAGTCTAAAAAATATGAAATTTTGAGCAGACTAAAGACACAATCTACCTCTTTGAAATCTTGGTTCAAAAGAAAGAGATGGCGTCCAAAAAGTTAAAATAGCTGGGAAAGCCACAAGGGGGACATTCTGAGTATTCAATTGGTTATTCATGTCATATATAGAAGTAAGTGTATACAAGGGAGTGTTTTCAAAAATGGAAAGAGGTAGGTGGGGTGCCACTGTGTTTGATTTATTACATAAGCAATATCTTAGCAAACGGAAAAGATAAGAGACTCTTATTTTATATTCTAGCTTTTCAATATCGGTAATTTAAGTTCCTAATTTGTATGAAGCTATAGACATCACAAACATCTAATTTGAACCAGTGCTACATTCAAAATACCATGTGACACACAAAAATTGATGTTTAACTGTGTTTTTTAATATTTACTTTTAAATTAAGAAATTGAGTAAGATATAATACTAAAATTTGAATTATAATCTACAGTTTGATACCAAATGTATTGATAACTGTATTCATGAAATAGTAGGTTCAATAAAATTTTGAATGTGATTCAACAAACACAATGGCATGGCCTGTCACCCATGACTCATCTGGAAAGGGTTAAACAACCTTGTAGCTACAACTTAATGGAAGCAAATGAAGTTATGCTGCTTATTTCTTTTTAAATATGAAAATAATTTCTGAACAGAATTTAATTTGGGTTAAACTTATCCTTCCTAATGTTTCATGCATCTGTTTGAAAATGTATTGTTGTTTTTTGTTATTAATGGTGAGGATACTGAATTGATGATTCAATACATTCTAAGTATTATAGGTCTTGGTTTTTTGGTGAATTGATTTAAAACATTTGTATATGTCTAGTCAGTTTCTTATCCAGGATTATCATTATTATTATCATATAAATTACTTTTCAATTTATTTAAGTTCTGATCTGTATGTATAGTTAGCTTACTTTAGGATTAGAAGTTATCACTCAGTATAAACTTAAATCAACAATATTTTACTGGTTTAATTTATCTGCTAACTCGTATTTTTATAGCATTGAATTTAATATTTATGTTATCATGTAGGTCCAGCTGGTGATTCACTAGAAGGTATACCAGGTTCTCCTGGACCTCAAGGACCTAAAGGTGACAAAGGTTTTGAAGGTTTTTCAGGTCAGCCTGGTTTTCCAGGTCTCCCAGGTCCTAAAGGTATGGCAAGTTAGAATTCTGAAAATTTGTGGATTTAATATTGAACTTGTGAATGTTACTTTAGTTTTTATTTATTTTTTATATATGTAGTTTATTTCTACCATGCTGTATATTTTAGAACAGTTGCTACATCATTTCTTCAGTGCAGGATAATTTTCAATTTCATAATTTGAAATTATTTTTTATGTTCAAAGATTTAAAAAGTTACTGTAAATACAAGACACCAACCACCTAATATATAAATATAACAACCTACTAAATGAATAAAACCTGTATTTTGTAGTATTTCATACCTTTAAGAATGTACAATGTACATAAGAGTATGGTATTAGTTTAACAGTATCTTTTTAGTTCATGTTTTTTAGACCAAACACAATTTCTTATGTTGAAATAGTCATAGATTGATGACTTAGAAAGTCGTCTTGCATGTTGAGAAACTTGAAACATTGTAAAAGCAAATACTCAGAGGATTATACTTCTCTCACAGCAAGATATTTGCAAGATGAATTTCTTATCAAATCATATAAGGTAATTTAATATTGCTATATATTAATTATATATCAAATGCTTTCAATATCTGTAACTCAACAGATTATTGTGTTTTAAAATTTTCATAAAATGGACAAGGTAACTTCATACACCTAATGTTTGGTATAGAAGGAGTATCTGTGCATAGTTGTACCTAATTTTGAACTCATAGATAGAAAGAAGTTAGCTGGTCAACAGTACCTACTACTAAATCATCAGTTACTTTTGTTTGACCAAACAGTAGCATTTGATCATCACTGTTACAGCACATCCACAGCCCAAAGTGTGAAGCCAATTTCTTCAGGCTCATGCCTAACCCAGATTTTTATATACATTGTATTGCAGGAAACAGTTCTAAAAGCTGAAGAAAACAGTTATACATATGGACCATCTAAAAATCTGAAAGGCTTCAGTTAATTTTCCTCCAAAAAAAGTAACTGTATTATCAAGGTACATGAGAAAAGCATCATTCATGAAAATATATAAGACCCTTTCATTGACTGGCTGATAATATCTCAAAAACGCATTCCTCAACTGACATTGCTGTGTGTTTTTTATCAAATTGAACTCATTATGTTGCATATTGAAATTGTTTAATGCTCAAATAATATTTGTTACCAGATTAAAAATATACATAAACTATTGATGTATTGCACAATAAAATTCTATTTGTTAAAAACAGGGCACAGCTCTAAAAAGACTCTATATGTTTTGGTGGCATGTATGCTGTAGTCATCAAGCATAGAATGCTACCTAAACATGTATTTTATTGTGAAATAAGTCAACATTATATGTGTGGTTTTAATATTTTATCTGTGAACAAATACACCAGTAATTTATTTAATATTTATTATCATCAGGTTTGTTTTTTCTCATTTAGGTATTATAATAGGTAACAACTACTACAGTATTTAAGTCCTAAATTTGGTAAGAAAATTTGTACATAAAACAATAGAAGTTTAGAAAGTTTTCTTAAAAGCTAGTGAAACCTAGTGGCACAGTGTAAAAGAAAAAATGATCGTGTGGTAGTAAGTTTTTTCCATCTTGCAGGTGATAGTGGAGGAAGTTGTTTGAATTGTATCCCTGGATCTAAAGGTGAGAAGGGTGACAGAGGCTTGGATGGGCCTCCTGGGCTACAGGGTGAAAGAGGTTCACCTGGACCTTCTGGACTAGATGGTCAGAATGGTGATGATGGATTACCTGGTTCAATTGGACCTCCTGGTAAAGAGGTAAAATCTCATTTACAAAAATATCAACTTATACTGACCTTATGTTAGAGTTATATTATTTAATTTATCTAAATTTCATTTTTTATTAATAACCTGATCATTTTATTTGTCTTAAAAAGAAGCTGTAATAGGAATCACCTAAATATACCTATACTATAGTAATAATATTTTATGTATAAGTTTATTATAGTACTGTAGTGTTATAAATTAGAACATACTTTTATAGGAGTATGTATTGCATTTGTGATATATGTTAAAAATATATTATTCAAGATGTA